TTTTGTTATATGACAAGAGACAATGATTTGAAAAGTTTTCAAATATTCAGTGATGTGATGAAGGTCATCCAAACCTATGGATAGATCAGATTCCTGGAAAATATACTAGTTGTGAGTTTGTGGCAATAAGTCGTTACCTCAAAATGCAGAGGGGACAATATAAAATGTCCTTGTATGAGCTTATTCTTTATGTTTTCTTACAGCATTTTGTCAAAAGTGCTAAAATCCTGAGAAAAAAAACCTTATTATGAAATAATTATGCCTTTTAAAGCCTTCAGTAGAGTAATTCCTGTTTGCCAGCTTCTGGAAAAGGGAAGCTGGAGTTTTCCAGAGTCATTGCAATCACAATGTAAACATTTTGGAAAAACACATGTGTTTAGGAAGTACTTTGATGATACGTAAGGTTGAGTGGATTCTTCACTATATGGAAAGAAAGACGTGTGTGTGCTTTGTAATCTGAGTCCTGGCTGGGCATCAAGCTTCCCATAAGGCGTTCTGTCCTAGTGTCGGCCAAGAGACCTGATACCAATAATGCTCCAAGAATTCAAGGTGTTCGTTAATATGCAGCTGTAATGAATGCAGCATGTGTTTTCGGATAAACTACATGCTTGAATGAGGACCTCTCATTCAGGAAGGTGAGGTGCATAGTATGGTGATTAGACTTGGCAAAAAGCAGTTGTTTGGGACGGATGACACCAGCCCAGCTAATTGTCATTGCCAACAGCGTGGCTCCTCCAGCGTCCCTCACGGAAGCAAGAGGTTGAGCTGCTGGGTTGTCCTTACCCATGCCGTGCTGGTGATTCCCAAGGGAATGCCATGATGGAGAAGTCCCTGCAGGTTGGCACAAATCTGCTTTGCGTTAGAGCACAGTTGTTTCCAGTTTGATGTATGTTCGGCTGAACGCTCAGCCCTTTTCACTCTGGTTGATTTGTTAAAATTTTACTCGCTTCCAGTAAACTGGAAATGGCTCTGCTTTCTAGAAACCATTTGTTTGAGCTTCGCAGGGGAATCAGGTTCAGTTACACCAGATCAGCCCAGTGACCCACACTAGCAATGCAAAACCTTGAATTTATCGTGGAAGAGGGGGGAAAAAATAGGAATTTATCCTTGTAAGGCCTGAAATTCCACCAATATCAAGAGGTCTTCTGTCTTGCAGGTTCCATCCCCTAGTAGTCACTTAGGTCCAGCCTGTGGTGCATGTTTCCAGTGGTAAACATGCAAGGGAGGTGTTTTCATCCTGATATGTGCAGGTTTGGGGCCAAAACATCTTCTCAGTTGCATAATGGGGTATCAGGGTGGAGGCCCTCATTTCCATACTGTTCAGATGATCTTCTTTATACAGGGAAGTGAGATGTTCTAATACCCTTATCTTACCTTACATAACTCCAGATGTTAATCATCAAAAAAGGATCCAGCCCTTTTTAATATCAGGGAGTGAAATGATAAGGCTTGACTTAATTTTTCAATTTTCTCTTGATAAACCTTAACTTTGAGATGCCGCAGGAGGTGGATTCAGTAGACTTCTCAGTAACCTTCAGATGTAATTACGTCAGTCTGAGCATATATATTCAACTTTTCTCCTTATAAAACATTTTTGCATTCAGTTTAGAGTGGAAATTCTTAAAGAATTAATTGGAAGAAAGCGTTTGGTGCTCTTTTTAGGAAGAAAAAAAGTAATATTTTTAAGAAATAATAATCTGGAAGAATGATCAAACTATATTTATAGCATTTAGCAATAGTTTAATGACTTTTCAGCGTTTCCATTTCCAGTCAACCAAATTCATCAGCCACTGGTACTCCTAAAAAGTGATTTGAAGTGGTTATTCGCTTTGGTACTATTCCTTATTAAGAGCAGAGCAAATGCTTCTGAAACCAGTGTGGAAGGGGTTTTTGAAGTGAAACCAATTTTTTTAAAGTATGACTGCATATCTCTATGAAGTTGCTTATGGTTCCACTTTCCACACCCTATAAATAATAATAATGATTGAAAATAACAAAAGCTTCCCACTCAGACCAATTTACTGCAATTTTCCTTTCACCATCTTATTCAGTTTATTTAATCTCTAAGCTATCTCTGAATTGCCGCTGGATTTCAGACACATGTATGCAGATAATTAGCATAGATGCAGATATTACACAAGATGATCAGGCTTATCAGATACAGGCATTTCTAATCTGTCGGGCCTTTCCAGTTCCTTTTCAGATTCCCACTTTCTAATAACAGTAGAAATGTTGCAGTGGACGTGCTCCTAGTCTCCTTTCTCCAACCCCAAAGCAAGAAAATCTCACAGGATGGGACTGAAATGCAGAATGAGCACTTAAGGAAAGGCTCGGATCTGCGTGCCACACCTCTGCCCTCTCTTGTATACAACGGAAAGCCTGTCAATGTTATTGTAAATCGTGATGGCTCGGTCCAGAAAAACCATATTTTGCACCTCATCTGGTCTAAATATTGAGTTTACGAGTGAATGTTGCTTTGCATTATGTGTTATAGATGCTTTATGTTTATTTAAGAACTCAGTTTGCAGGAATGTTTTCCAGACATGCGGTTTACCGCAATAGACAGTTGTTGATATTCTGATCCCAAGAGCATTAGAATATGTTTAGAAATTGCAACACTTTTAAAACCAGATGTTCTACATAAGCTACACAAAAAAAAAGGGGGTGGGGGAACAAATAGAACTGTCATTTGGCATGAAAACAGCCTGTGTGAAAGCAAAGGCAAACACATACCAAGTGAAATAAACGTGGTGAACTGCCCTCAACCCTTTCCTCCTTTTGTAAGTAACTATTTTAACAAAAGATGGAAAATCCCAGCTCCCAGATGGTGTGGGAAGGGAGAAGGAAGGCTTTCAGGTCCAGATTCGCGTCTGAAGGAAGCTGCTGGATCTTGTTCCTGGGATGGATCAAACCAGAATGACAGAGCTGGGCAACTCAAAGCAAGGAAAGAATGTAAATCTGGATTCAAGGCCCAGCACAGAGACTCATTTTCTGTGCATTTCTAAAGGTAAATGGTTGACAGTGAAGAGGCAAACGGCGTTACGCCCTGCACGGTGAATCGCCACCAAAAAGGTTCTTCCCCACAGCTGGAAGATGGTGTCCCATGCTGCACTGTCCTCCAGGATGGTTTGGTGGAGACGTTTCTGCAAACAGGTGGGGGCTCATCCTGCACTAGGCACAGCCTCAGAGGCTGAAGTGTCTCAAAATACCTCTGATGGGTCTCTGGTGCGAAAGCATGGTTGGGCAGCAGAACAGTCGGGACTCACAGCTGTCTCCAGTTGATGATAAACTGTCTCTTTCCATTCAATCTGTTGCTGGTTTTTCCTCTGACTTTGAATTCTTTCCCTTGTTTATTATAAAGGAGAAGGCAAAAGAGTTTCACACACACCAACCTCAGACAAGTTGGCTTGAGTCATGTTGCTGTCTGCATTATTTTTCCCCTCCTATACCAAGTTAACATGCGTTAGGGTAATCGGTGATAACACTGTAGGTCCTGGCCTATAAAAATAAGACCAACTGGCAGCCAAAAGAAAAGTAACCTCTGCTTTCCTTTACAACAGCATCCCACAGTGCTGGAGACACGTTACCAGCAAGTCTGGAGTAATTTGCACAAAGCATAGTGGTTTAAGTAACTAAAACAATGCAGGCGTGTGCCCAAAGGTTGAAAATGTTGTATGTGCAATATAATAGTAATGTAATGTCTGACAAACAGCCTTGTTCAAAAGCAGTTAAAAGGATGCTGTGAAGAAGGCTGCTGTGCAAATATGGTTTCACCAGGAGGTTTCCTGAGCCCTGTGAATCGCAGCCATTTGGACCCTCCTGTGTCTCTTCCGAGCTGTAGCAAAGCTGCTCTGCTGTGTTTTTGCAGGTTGCTCGGCTGCATAGGAATAGGCTCATTTATAAGTCCCTGGTTTCATGGGAAGGCAATTTGCTTACTTCAGTAAAAGGACCAAACTGCCCTACCAGCTTAGTCATTCTGCCTTCATTGAACAGAAGGCTCCTGCTGCCTTCAGTGGATGTTGGACCAGTTCGTTAGTCCAGCTTCAAAGAATTAACGCTGGAGTAGGATCTGCCCACTGAGTCATCCTGCTCCTCATGAGTACCTGAAAAGCCAGCTCTGAAACTCTTACTAGGTCTGCCTCACCAAAGACAATTTATGGCGGAAGTTCATGTACATATTTATTTTGTTGCTAAAGAGTTTGCTGGCATACTTCAAAGTGTGGGCTATTGCCTGTTCAGGTTTATTGCCTGCTCAAGTGAATTATTGCCTACCTGAACAGGCCTGCTGAGCAATAGTTCAAATTAAAACGTGTCATTTATCATGTTCACACCAATCCAAAATGACCGCAAAACCCAAGGTGTAATTATTGCCAGGCTCTGACTGTAGAGCTATCATAGCAGGTTCTCAGCCAGTGGGGAATACTGGTTCCTCTCCTTGAAGGAAATCTGCCTCTTTCTTTATAATCAACAAATATGACCCTAGCTTTAACAGTAATATTGTTTCAAATGCTTATATTCACCACTGAAACCAACTTTTAAATATGGTGAAAGAATGTGACATGGATCCCATCCAAGATTAACTTTTCTGCAAACTGTAGTTTCAGACCCAAAGTTTTTCATTAAAATTTCTTCTAAAAACAAATCATGCGCTTCACACCAATATTCAGCAAGTAGGTTGTCACACAGCCTGAAACGATGGCGCTATTTTTATTATCATCATTATTATTGCTGCTATTGTTATTATTTTACCCCAGTTTCAGAAAATAAACTTGTACGGCGGCAGCTGCCTGTGGTATGTGTCTGAAAGCAGGAAAGAGCAGCGTATGGATAGTGTGCGTTCCCTCACATCCCTCCCGAAGCTGTCCTGGCTCATTTAGGGCTTTTGAACTTTTTTCTGGATAATGTAAAGTTTCTGAAGTAAGAAAGCAATAAAACTTTTTGTCTATGTCAGAGGAACTGTATATTGTAACACTTTTTTTTTTTCTTTTCTTTCCTTTCAGGTCGTACAACAAGAGGATGTTCAAACAAGAACCAAAGTATCGGAAAACAAAAATCAGAAGAATTTTGTGATAGGTATGTTTTTTGTCTGTGCAAACACATAAGTGTAAGTACAGGGAAAGGGGAAAAAAAACCAAAATGTGGTTTTAGGTGCATTTTTTTTGTGTGTGTTGTTTTGTTGTTGTTTGGTTTTTGTTTGTGTTTTTGTTTGGGTTTTTTTTGTGTATGGTTGGACTTGATGATCTTGAAGGTCCCTTCCAACCATGAAGATTCTGTGATCAGAAAACTTGCAATTGGTTATGTGCTGGGGTTGAAGATGGACCAGGTCTGCAACATCTGGTCAGGCTGGCCATAATTCATACACAGACCTGGTTCTGAGCATCCTGATTCCTGTCTCACTTCTCTGTGAACCGTACCCGGTCTCTGCAACTAAACAATTCCCAACTTACGGAGTTTGCATCCTGATCTGAATTTTGCAACTTAAGCCTACCTGTGGTTATGCAGTCAGACAGAAAAGCCAACAAGCCAAGAGCAACGCCTAGTCACTGACTTTGATCTAGAAATAGTTATTATCCAGCTATCTCCATTACAAAACATCCAGTTTGCTAAACCTGGGTTATCTACTGATTTGGCTTCATTTGATAGACAAGAGAAGGCCTGGCATGGGAGAGCTTCACATCCTGAAACCGTGCATCTTTCAAAAAAAAACCTGATAAGCTATAAATCTTGCAAAACCTGAGAGTGGGAAATGACGTTTCTGTCCATCTCCCAACCCCGTCTCTGCAGTTAATCCCCAATAGCACCACTGGCAGGCTTTGCAGATGAGATGGAGAAGTGAGGGAACTGATGCTTCTCCCCACAGAGCCGAGACTCTCCAGTGGGCAGCGAGAGGAAACACACACTTCTCAGGAGAAGCACCTCGGTGCGGTTACGCGGAGCACTTCAGTTTCTCGAGCCCTAAGCTCATGCGGGTTTTTCATGAGGATAAACGACTTATTTTCAGACAGTTTCTTCGAATTTCTTTTTCTTGGAAGCATAGTGGGAAGTTACTTTAAAAGGAAGTCACTTTGCATTCTCTCCTTTTCGCTCTTCTGTCTCTGCAGAGTGAATTTGGGTCACGGCGCGGTAGCGTTCAGTCCTCTCGCCGAATCACTTGCCGAACATGTGGTAGTGTTTTGCGACACGGTCTGTGAACTGGGAAGTAAGCTGAGCTCACCCAACCCATTTCATTTATGGCTTTACACAAGTAAATAAGTATGTTTTCAGCCACTCAACACAAGAATGGCTTGCAAATTGCAACCGCCGTTGCCTGGCAGGTTAAAGGTTAAGCTTTTCAACAGGTCAGGCTGCAGTGCTAATTCACCTCAGCAGTGAGTCCCAGGCAGCCTGTAATGCATATTTGTGGTGGTTGTGTTTGTATAGCATGCACATAAAATGAAAACCGTATGACAGAGGTTAGTCCTCTTAAATGGTTGTCACATTGGCTTGGGGAACTTTCGTACAGTTATCCATACGCTCGCCAAGATTCTGGTGGTATTTTCCTATAAATTTTATTGACGTGGTGAACTAAATTGGGTAATTTCATAGCTATTATAATCAGCCAGTGGCCCAAGCAATGCACTTCTTTGTTTATCATGAAAATGTTACTAACTGGTCTGGCCAGGTTCAGCTTCCAGTGGTGGCCCTCTTCCAAATGCGGAAAACCCCTTTTTTCTGACATAGAGGGTTCAGACAGGCAATCCTTGTGTGCTCGATCCACAAAAGCACCAAAGCTGTGGGCTGAGGGCTCAGCCCCTGTCGCCAGATGTATTTCCTGAATGTTACACAAATGAGGAGCTTGCAAGAGCTTCTTAAGTTCAGTTTACAACTGCTAAAGCTTGGACTAAGGCCTGGACTAAATGAAGCGTCTAAATTGGGAGCCTATATTAGGCTGATAAGCTCCTTTATGTATGCAGCTGGGAGAGACAGGCACCCCCAGAGATACCCTGGGGAAGTACATTTGTCCTCTGTGGGTGCCTGTCCATCCATTGGCTCTAGAAGGAGCCCGAGGGAACAAAGATCTTAAGGCAGGCATCTTAGGTGGGCCCTCGTGGCGCTGTGGATCTGAGCCTAGATAGCTACACATCATGGCAACAGGTCACCTCAAATTGTTCCTTCATATTCTTATATGACCTTGGGTACTACTTGGTGGAGAGCCATTACATGCGGGCGTAATCCTGGGGCCGGTACTGCTGGGCTTAGTTCAGCAAGAGAAAGATCTGTGTGTCTGAATGACCAAAAGAAGTCATTTACTGTCTTTTGTTGGCAGAGAGGTCTTAAAATTTCCTCCTCCGCAAGACAGGAAGAGCAGACACAGCCCTGGACTTCCTCTCCCAGATCCTTCCTGACCAAGATGCCCTTCTCCAAGGGAGGAGCCGTGACCTTCAAAGGCCATGTCCTGGCACATCAGGACGTACTCGTGTGCGTAACACATTCGTTTCTTCATTGCAAAACAGGTGAATTAAAAAACTTACTCTATCGGCCAATATCGAGATATTTTTGCTGAAGTGCAAAATAGGTGGCAAATAAAAGAGAACCCTGTGAGTGCACATAGCAGGAGACAACTGAGATGTTTTGGGAAGCTCCCATTTCCAGTTCCCAGAGCTCCTCTGCATTCCCAAGAAAAGAAGACGAGTGGTCCCCATCCTTGGTTGAATGCTTGACGGAGCTGGCAATATCACTTTGGTTTTACACTGACTATAAATGATGCTTACATTTCAACAGCATTTTTAAATAATATTTTTCATAAGTATAAGCTAAAGGAGTTACTTTCCACCAGGGTCACGGAGAGTTCACTAAATGCTGATAGACTGTGTTCTGTATTAATGGTGCTAAGCTAACTGCCTCACAGAACTGCCAGAGCCCTTTATTTAAAGAAATAGCACTGTATTTCACAAGAAAATATTTTTAAAGCTTTCCCTACCAATAGCTTGTCTAAAGAGGGCTAGGTCTAATTATTTATACTGAATCTTGAATGCCCGGTATTGGATGCTTTTGATAAGATAGATGCTTTATTTGAATATATGTTTAGAGCAGTGTGCGACACAGATCATTAAAGCATTTTGTTTACTTTTTTATTTGAATATCAGCAATTGGCTAATTATTGGATTTTATAACCGATGCTTCAAAAACAGCTATGAGGATTAGGTTGTGCCTTTATACAGAGCGCTGGGTAAGGGGTTCCACACGGCAAGAGGAGAATCTCCACGTGGGTCCCGGTTTCTTCCCTTCAGCAAGGGGAAGGGATGTGCAGCTCATCTGGATCAGTTCCTCTAGAGCAGCGAGCCAGGTGGCAGAGCTGGGACTTACCCCTGCACATGGGATGTTTGTGCATCACCAGGACCTAGGGGCTCACAGGTGAGTCTCTTACTCCCCTTGCGTGGGTAACACAAGTCAAAAACCTCCTCCTGGCTGGTACTTGGGCAGATTCCACAGCGGTGGTGGTTTGAGTAGCGTGGTACTAGGTAGAAACCAGTTCTTTTCACAGACACAAATGGGAAGTGACCTTAGAGCAAAATAATGATGTGGATTAAATAATGAGAGAATCAGCAGGTATGACTATCAAGGCAGTGCAACCCACTGAAACCCACGTGGTTGCACTGAGAATCTGTTCCGTGACACCTCGTACGAGAGTGAATCTGTAAAGAAAAATCTGCTCATGCTTCTCGCTTTTCAAATCTGTACAGGTATATGTAGGGGAGCTGTTTCAAAGCAAAAGCTTAAAGACAATACACAAGAGCTTCTGCTTTCTAAAAGTCTCCTGCCTACCTATGATGGACCAATTTATGAAGCTGACAAAATCTTACCATTAAAATGTGAAGACCATGGAAGTGTAATGTGTAATACCCAGCTAGACAGAATGACTCTTTTCAGGAATTTTCAGGAATATACTTACTGTATATTCCTCTCCATTAAGGGCTGGTAATGCAGCCCCATACCCCGGCAGCACTGAGGTGACACCCAGAAACTCTGCTATCTTGAGAACTGCAAGTTCAGCTTCTTGGGTGATAAACTGTCCATAAATGTAGGGAAAGAAATAGAGGGTCATATTTAATGGGAAAACAAATTGTCACTTACCTGTTAGCTTCCCAGTGTGTGAAAACTGGTTCCAGTTTACTGCTCTAGAGAAGCTGTGCTCTTACATCTCTCTGTGAGATGGCATCAAGTGACCCCAAACAAACTTGAGGTAAAGTATTCAGGGAGAGAATTAATTAGGCACTTAAGCATAAGCTTAACGTTAAGCACGCAGCATAATTTTGTTCAAGTGAATTCAGTGGTATTATTTGTATGTTTAAAGTTAAGCACTGAATTATCTGTTGTACTCTATCAGGGCCTAATAGCCTGTGCACTTACTTGCAAATTCAAGATGCTTAATGTGTTTATTCTGGACTCTTCCTGTTGTTGCACATGAGGAATTGATGGTTGCCCACAGCCAAGCGCGGTGACATGAGCCTACAGCAGCAGCACAGCCCAGCTCTTCCCAGGCCACGGATGGAGGGATGGTAAGAAGCTGAATATGGGTGGGGAAAATGCAAAAGGGCAGGTCTTCAGCAGCTCACCAGCAGCAGATCAGGTTTTCCAGAGCCCTCAAGCAAACATCATTAGTTGTCATTGGCCTCAAGGGCAGCAGAGTTAGCCATTGCTGAAGATTTCTGAAAGCTTTTGCTCATCGGGTTGGGAATAGTAAAAGGAACATTGTGGTTTCCATGCAGCTGTCAGAGACAGAAGAGCTGAGCTCTGGTCTTTGCTCCCTCATGGACACCCTACATTTGTGCAAATCTTTTCACTGCATCACTAGTCTGGGAGCAACTACATGTTGCTCTCATGATTCACTTCCTCCATGTGTGCAAAGGTGATGGACCTCAAGAACTAGAGATGTGAAACCTCTGTGTAAGAGTGGCATTTGAGCTGGGCCACCCCACTTGGCTCCATCTTGATGTGTATGGAAGGGAGGTCGGGGGAGATTTAGGCAGTAAACCAATATTCCCACCCACTAATGGCCAAAAAAGAAATGTTCCTGAGTGATGTACTCAGCACCTTCTATTCTCACTGAAGTAAATAGTTCCTTTGGGACTACTTTCATGTGTCTTTAGGGGATGTAACCAAATTATACCACATGAGAGCTGGTAATTTTAATGTTATGCTGTAAGGGAAAAACTATAAACATAACAGGAAAGACTGGATGTTTTCCATTCATATTTTTAGAAGGGTTGCTTCTCATCTGTACACATTAGTTTTTCAACATCTCTGGCAAGATGTAAATGAATTATTTAACTGGAATTGAAAAGCAAGTCTTAGTTTTAAATTAAGGTAATAAAAGCTGTTGTTTTGGTTTTGTTTTTTTCCTTAATTCTTAGAATATTACCATAGAAGATAAAGATCAAAACCAGATACAAGAGGCGATAACAAAATACCCAACCTCTAACCTCACCGGCAGGAGGTGGATCGTTTTAGAGAAATGACTGGCTCTGATCAGAAGTACGGTCAGCGGGGTCGGATGAATCCATGAGGTTTTTATCAGAACCATTGCTCCGTTGTGTCGGTCTCAGCGATGGGAAGCACCGGGCACCTGGAGCTGGGAAGGGTGCGGGGACCACATGAACCAGCCGCTGCTGGCTAAGGCTGCAGGAACCGCACCAGGTTTTGTGTAGAACGTGGGGGAAAGCTGAGAATGGGCCTTCTGTAGGAAGATTGGCTTGAAACTTCAGGTTTTATCCTCTGTTAGTGGGAAATCTGTAAAATACGGTGAGCCAGAACCCGGCAGGACATTTTTGGAAACCAGTATCTGCCCAGGAGAAGCGCTTGGGGTTTGGCCTGGCCAGTTTTAAGCTGGGGATGTTTTTACAAGCTAAACTGACCCTGTTGAGGGCAGCAAATACATCCTGCTTTGCGTGAGAGGTGGTAGCACCCAATCCTGGCTTCACAGAGCTTAAATTCCAGTTTCCTTGGACAAAGCACAGGTGAGTCTACTTGCTGGAGAAGTCAATTATGTGAATTGTAGAGCAGGAGAGTTTCTATGCCCACCCACCCTCCCCCCAAAAAAGAGAAACCTCTCTCCATTATTTCCATGGTTCCTCATTTGTCATAAAGATGAGATTTTCTCCTGCAACTGAACAGTAAATGTTTCATAAACAGTTCCTCCGTCTGCAAGTGGACCTTGAAAATTGATTATTTTTTGTTTGTTTCTTTTAGTCTCCAAATGTTTCTACCATTATAAGGCAGGCAGTTATTTTGCTAGGAAGGAATGTGAAGAATTAGAAAAGTTGAAAGCGATTAGGACTCTTGTCTTTTAAGACAGAGCCATTCACAAAGCCTGGCATTCAGCCTGCTCAGAGCGAGCATCATAAGACACCCTGAAGCCTTGAAATCCCTCAGTTTTAAACCCCATGGGGTGGTTTTTGCATTATCAGGGAAGAGATTATATTGCGGAGACTATTTTCTTCATATTTTAAAGGTCTCTGAGTTAATATTTATTCTAAGTAGATGTTTATTTTTGGATACTTTTATTGTTTCTAGGAAGGCCACAAAGAGTTCAATGTTATGGAGAAACGGTTACTTTGTGTTTATGGTTAAAGAAAAAAAAGAAGAAGAAAAAAGAAAGTGCCAAACAATCCTGCCCCAGTTCTTTATTTACGGAGACAATGTACTTTCCACCCATGCACAGGCAGTGCTTTACAGGCTATATAATAAAACGCCGTTCCAGATATTGTCTAAATAGAAACAGATTTAACCCTGCTGTTGTGACTTGCATTGCTGGGTAATGAAAGTTTTCAATCTGGTTTTACTTTGCTTCAAGCTTGCTGGAGAGCTGCACATCCACAAACCCCTGCCTCTTTTGCGCAGAGACCTGTTGTTCCAATTCCATCTGTTTGTATATGGAAGGTGAACATCCCTCAACCCCTCCCCTTCCCTCTCCCTTCCCTCCCCAAAAAAAAGCAAGCCTTAGGATTTGGCCCTTTTTGGTAGGTAACAAGTTATAATTCATGCCTCAAAGTGATACTTTCTGCAAAGACCACAGGTTATAGAACAGACCCTAGTGGTTTAATATGAGACTAGAAGGTGCTCAAGACAATGAGATGGTGGTGCCTGTTGCTTCATTTTGTGAGTAGAGGTCTGAAACCCAGAAATTTCTAAGCCTAAATCTCAATGAGGGTGAGTCAAATCATTTACCTATGCAGTCATCCACTAATGGCGTACTCAAAACTGCTGAAAAGACTCTTTAATTTAAGTTGGCTTTGAAAATTACCCATTGCTGTGTTACCTAAAGCAACCTCCAAGTGTTTCTCCATAGGGGAAAAGACCTGTGATAAGAGATAGTCCCTGAAGATGTGAGAACAAAAGATGGGCTGCAGCATATGCATCTCAGGAAATGGTTCATTACTCATTAATTGCTCCATTTCCGCACACCAAGGGGGTCACCCTGTCACTGAGGACCAGAGAGATTGTAGCAATAATATAAATACTGCTTTATTTACAATTCTACAAGAAAACAACTTTCCATGGTTATTATATAGAGACTGTTTTTTTAAAGTTTCCACAAATAAAACACTCTCGGAGGGCAGTAGGAAGTTTGTAATGTGAAGCATTTTGCAGTGGGACTAGAGGCGTATTTCCATATGTCACAGAGCCACGTCCAGCTGTTGGGGCATGAACCGAGGGCTAGGAGCAACCAGAGCCTCCTCTCTGCTCCCCTACAGATTTCCTCTGCGACCTTGAACAAATTCCTGAGTTTCACTGCCTGCCTGTACAGGCAGTACTCTATTATATTTCCTTCTATACTCCGTGATACTCCCTTTTATACTTTAATTATTTTGTACCCAGAAAAGCCACCCTTGATCAGATTCCCTTGGCTCCCGAGCCAGCTGCCTGCTGACTGTGCCCTCTGCGAGTACCTGCTCCAAGGGGTCGGGTCCCGGAGCTGGTGCTGGGGGAGGATGGAGGGGAGGGTACCAGTGCCAGGCTGGCTGGCGGCGTGTAACCTGCCTACCTGGGGCTGCCTGGGGCTTGCTGGGACTGGGGTCACAGTGGTTTTCCCATCTGCAGCTGAGAGGTAACAGGATTCACCTACCGCATGAGAAACTGCGTGTGGGTAAATGCAAGTGACACTAAGGGCAGGTGTTATTACCATAATGTGTGTCTTACAAGCGCTTGAGGTAGTCACTAAAACAACATCCCCTAAATTTGTGTCCACTTGAACTGCTCTGTCTCTGTAATCGCAGAGCAAGAATGGGCAGGTATAACTGATTCTTATCATCCAGGATTAAAACACAGCAATCACCCCAGCCCACCTCTTAGTATTCATTTTACTTATTAAAGCTTCCCAACAAGTCTCTGCAGTGATGTTATCTGCTAAATTGTGTGAGGTTTCTGATCATTAAGTGGATTGGTCTTCAAAGAGCTAAATGAAAATGAGCAATAAATATCAGTGTTACTTAGGTCATATAGTGCAAAATGACAAGGAGACCGAAAGACCTTCTGGCAACTGTAGAACAAACAAATATGAAATAGATTCACAAAAGCTTCTTGTGGGTTTTTTATAAACTTTCTCAATACTTTTAATTATTTTTAAAAGCAAGTTAAAATGCAGAAGCAGACTGAGTCTTAAGGAGCAGGAACTCCTGAAAACCCTGGCTTTTTCGTTCCATGGCTGTGACCTAAAGTTCTGTACTTTTACTCCTGCACTAACTTTTTTTCTCTGCAGAAGGGACATTGTAATATTCATGTATGCGCCGGGGAAGGTATCATTATTATGGCAATTTCTCCAGTGCTTTGCACATAGACAGATGCATTTAAGAAGGTGAGCTTCCCGCTGGTGGGTGTAAACATGAGCTTGAAGCTTTGCACCTGCAATTGTATTGCCTGAGTAAAACTGAGCACTTGTACCAGTAGCAACCTGACTGCAGAGGGAAATGAGGCAGCGGTGGTTGCACTGACTTCTGCTTGGATCTGGGTTTTCATTCTCCTGGAAAAATAACCAGCCACAACAGTTGCCAGGGCAGATTGTATCCTCAACCAAATAGTATTAAAATCTTCCACATAAAGCACTGCAAGTAATATTAAATGACTGCATGGTTTCTTAGATAGTATTAGGAGGGCTTATTTTTACTCAGCGAAAAAAGTAATGAAAAAAAATAAATTCAAAATGCTGCAGCTTCTTATGTCTTAATTGCTCTTTTTAGTCCCTTTTCCCGTGGTGTAAAATTATGACAGCAGCCACTGTGAACGGTGACTTTTTCCTTGTGTAAGCTGCCTGACCCTGTGAGTGTTGATGTGGTGATGCCACATAGTCCTCCTTTATAACATGGCAAGGGAGGATCTTCCATAGCAAGAGCTCTGTGAGCCTGAGGTGTCCACGCACGCTCTAGCAAACCAGGGACCAACTCCTCACTCTAACACAAACCCACTCACCTTGTTCTCAGAGGCCTTGTTCTCTCCTGGAGAAGCAGTGTTTGAGAGGAGTAAGATAGAGAATTTATCTTGTAGTGAAAATACTGAAACTTGACTGTTCTCATTCCTTTGGCTCTTTTAAGGACCGTTGGCGTCTCTTTCATGGTGACTGAAGCACTCTGAGCTAGAAGTGGGACCGAAAAAAAGGAGAAGATTCAATTCAAATAGAGTTGGAAGATGGAGGCCAGCAGAGAGAAATGGAAGAGTCAACTTTTTAAACAGGAAAGAAAGAAGGCTATAACCTAAAAACCCACAAAACCTGAAGGTAACAGTCATTTCCTATTTCTGTGAAGACTGTTGGGGTTTCTCTAAAGGAAGTGGGGGGTGGGGAAGAAGACAGTTCCTGGTATTTTCCTCAGCTTAGAAAGCAGAGCAAAGTCATCAGGCTTCCTACGTGACTCAGAAGAAGGGTTACGGAAAGTGTGAACTCTACTGTAATATCATGGCACGCTGTATGGTAAGGGCTAAGGTACCATAATGATGGCCATAAAGCAGACAAGAAATCTTTCCACATATTTGACCCCCCCACAGTGCTGTTCCCTGTGTAAAAGGTGAAAATTATAGTTGGATGATAAAATGATTCAGAGAAGGGCTAAAAGTGCCTTGTCTCCATTCTTCCTGCTGCTTAGGACCTCCTGAGTCCTCTGCCATCCTCTGCAGCAGGACACCCTCCAAACACATCTGGACACTGGGATACACCTGCTGTGTGGTGGCTTAGACCAAATACCCCTGAAAGCTTTCTCCACCTCGATAGAACGTTTATTCACAAAAGGTGCCAGCAACCAAGGAGTCAATGTGAGATCGCTGGAGAACACCCGTTAATTGGTTTCAGAAGATCTTCAAACAGGACTCGGAAACAAATCAAACCGGTGTAAGGTAACTGTAAAATTTATGGTTCAAAATTAAATTATGCGGTACTTGTTAAACATAATATTTTAAACTTCTGTGGAAGCATCACAAGGCTTTTAAATTATAACTGTGATCAGGCATGATGTGAAATACTGCGGCTCCCATTCTGCAGATGGGTAAATCAGGCACAACGCAGAGAAATGAGGGCTTGAAGGTGTTTCCTGGGCACAGGCGTGAGGATACACATCGCCTGGGTCCTCTTGCAGTTGATGTTTGACTTCCATCTCCCTTTCCCTGATGCGTGTAGAGCTTCACTGGTGTATATAGAGCCTTTCCCGTCTATACTGAGATTGTCCATCGGCACAGAAAAGGTGTTGGGGGGGCAACTACAGAGGTTTTGGTTGCTCTTACAGAATCAGATCTCTAGTGACTTGGGCAAGGACACAGAACCGAATAGCGGCGTTAGGATGAATGCCAATGGGTTCTGCTCCCATTTTCCAGTTAATAGATATTCAACCGAGGATGGCAGGGGGTGTACAGGGAAAAATTCATTATATAAATATGTACCAAGGTGAAGCAACCCAGAATGAAGATTAGAAGGAAGAAAATTCAGGTCTCGGGTCTTGGCTCCTGAAGTATGAGATTCTGAAGCTGAAAGGGTTTGACTTGCACTGGGGCCTGGTGTGCAGAGCCCATGTTTTTGAAGATGTCATTTTGCATGTGTTGCATCAGTTAGGATTTACATACACTTCTATGAAATCTGGGCCATAAATGTTGATTTTAAACAAAGACATTTCCATAGGATCTTTATTGTCTGTGTGGTGGTAAAGTGCTATGAATAATTTTTCCCAGGTGCTTAAACAGGTGGTGTCTTCAAGGGAAGCAGGGCTTCTTTCATGTTCTCTATAATTTGTGCTGTCTTAACCCTGCATTGTCAATGTCTTGGGTGAACATTTATGGCTGTTTGAAATGCTCCTTCCCCGCAAAGATGCTGGATACCCAGCTCCACGGTTGGAGTACAAGCGTTACAGTTATTTATTTACAAGGAAGGAAATAACATAGTGGCTCTATTTGCTACTCCTAAATTTATTTTCTCTTCTTTTGTGCTGTGTAAAAATGTTAGTCATCTCCAATGGCCCTTGGAAATAAGCTTTCCAAATATATTCTCATACTCTATATAGATGCACTGATGATACTCCAGCAGTTCAGCAAGAGGAAATCTGAAATAGTGGCACTAAATGACAAGGAAAAAAAATCACTGGGGAGAAAACTGTCCATAAAAATCTGAGGATGATTATGGAGCATGGGGAAATGGTGCCAGTGCTGGGCTGCATACTCCTTGAGCCCTCGTTTCTCAGACATCATTGATTAAAGGTAGATGGAAGCGTGCCATACAAAAGAGCAGACTCATGGACTTCAGCTTCTCTTTCCATCTGCTTTGGGGCTGTAAGTTCAAACCCGTGTGACGAAATTGGGAATTTTCATTTTGTACTTAGGGCCCAAGCAAAAGTGGCTGGCCTGAGAAGAGGCTGGGTGGCCACTGTTAACACATGATGCTCGTGAAGCTGTGTCACCCTCGTTAGGAGCTTACATCCAGAGATGGGAAGCAAGCTGTGGCAGCCAGGCTTGAAAACGGGGATGAATATGACTGCGAGTTTCCATTTCCTCATTCAGATTTTTAAAAAGCCGTAATACTTGCTTTCCTAAGAAGCATGTGTCATGGGCTTGGATTTATCAGCGTTTTTAAAAGCAGTGGATGTGTCTGCTTGCTGAGATCCATCAATTATGAGGGCATATATAAGCTGTATAAACATTTCCATGTGGTTTCGGGTCTCCCTCAATGATGTCCTACGTCCATCCTGTCCACGCTCATTTATTCTGACACACAGAGAATCCCCCATGACTGATGACACTGCAAAAGTGAGTGATTGACCTTTTCCTGGTGAATATGTGCAGAGATTATCCATCTGCACTGAAAAAGGGAGGGGAAAACTGCACATAGATTTTAGGGGGGTGCTTGAAGGAGCTAGTACTGTGACGATTCAAGATGCTCATTGTTCAGCCAAAGAGCTCAGAGAAACCAGAAGCAGAAATATGGTGAAATATGAAAATATCACCTCTGCTTCTCCAGCCACATGTAGATCAATCCTAGGATAATACTATATATATTATACATATGTATATAAAAATATATATGTGTGTGTATTTGTGTATGTAAAACTTTTTTCCATTAAAGAAAAGAGTTGTGATTAGGGCACGCAAACTACTGAGTATCTACTTTGTTTAAAGAAAATCTCAAGTAGGTTTTTTTTTCCTTCCTCCTCGTCATTTTTCCAACCATATGGATTTGCCAGTTCACTGCATCATTGCATGTTTATAACACAGCATTTCTTCAGCAGCTGTCACTGTCTCCGAATGCTGTAGTACATCTCATATGCCGAGTTGCAGGCCACAATGCGATAGAAAACAGCTCATGGTTAAAGAAAAAAATAAAAGACCCTCTCTTGACATCCATTTGGACACTGGTTGTGGGCTTTGGAGAAGGCAGGGGGAGGCTGACAGCTCTCTCAGATATGCCCCCTGTTCCAGCTGTGTGTCAGGGCTGCTCATTCCCCACCAGCACTTGACATTTAGCACGATGGAGTTTAGGGCACATTTGCCAGAGACATGGTCCTTTTTTCCCTTTGCTAACCTGTGGTGAGCTGCTGGGATGTAGCCTGGGAGCCTGGCTTGCTCAAAGGTGTTTTCTGACTAGGAGCAAGATGGGTGAATATAGAATAGGTGCACCTGAATTGGATTAAAATTGCCCTCAGTGTGGCCATAACAAAATACTCACTGCAGGGTTACAGCTGAGGTACCGAAACATTAATTGCGATCTTCTTCCCTGGTCAAAAGATAAAGAATGTGTAAGAACTGCCCTAAATTGATGTTGTCTGGAAGGGGTAGAGAAGTATTGGGGCTTCCTTCTGAATATTCCCGTTATCCTCCTTGCCTGGCAGCCCGAAGACTCGGCCAAGAGCTGGGGAAACTGCTCTATGGACTCTCCTTTTCACACCATCTCTCACTGCCTGCCCACTTTGGGCCCAAAAGCAGGATTTGCTGAGCATGTAGCATATGTTCATCTGGTTGTGTGAGAGCATGTGTGGGTGTTGGGTCACAGGGAAAGGAGTCTCTTGCCCTAGTTCTCATGTAATCCCAGAGAGCTCGAGTTTGGTTGGTTGTGTTGAGGCTCCCCCAGCTAAAATCTTGCCCACGGAGGCTCTATTTGGTGCAGATGTTCAGTCTGTGGTACTTTTTCCGAAGTTTGGCGGGTGTGACTTTCGGTTCGTGCTTATCATTTGACCATCGCTAGAACAGGAAGAAAGGTTTGGCTTCTTTTTTTTTCTTTGTCTATTTCTTTCTAATGAACCTTATGACATGATAGGTTGAATTATCGAAGTATCTTATAGCATGTTGCAGATGGTGGTTTAATGATGTAACATCTCTTCATAGAAAATAAAGCGCATACCTGGTAGTCAGATTGAACAGGATCAGATAGCACTAGATCACAGATTGGGGTTGCTGCCTCTTCTCACGTGAGCCTGCTTGAGGAGATTTTACAAAAACCAAAAGCACCCAGGAAATATTTCTCCTTGTAGCGAGTCATTAGCAGAGAAAGAGCAATTGTACAGTACTAAGATTATCCAGCAGTAGAAAGAACATCCTAATCCCAGACAGGAGAGACAGGATGTCCATTAGGAATGGTAGCCACTGATCAATAGTCTAATTTAGCATAGAAAGGTTTTATTGCTTTGGGAGCTGGAAGGAGAAGAAGGAGGTATTGCAGTGTCTTCAGTTCTAGTCCTGCCTCTGCCGCTGATGCACCCCAAAGCAACGCCGGCTGACTCCGCTGCTTTTCCACAGCCGTAGGATCAAGCAATAATTTTAAACTGGCAGACCATTAGGTATTTTGAATGTGCATTTGATTATGTATGGGGCAGCACAAAGGGAGAAAATCCATTTCTGACAATGTCAGGGGTAAGCTGACATTTGTCTGCAGTTTGTTTCGGATCAAATCCAGCAAATTTCTAGGCCATCAGCAAAGAAAATAATTATGAAAGTATTTTTTCTGACATTAGCTGCCTTTTTTTAATGTTTTAAATTTTTTTGGTAATAAAAAAATATAGAGATAAAATTCCAAAGCAGGACTGTAAAAGAATTACTTTCTACAAATATGCAAATATTTTTTTAAATGTTTTCAGAACAATTCTGTCCCCTGCTCCCCTTCCATACTTCTCAAAAATGAGATTTCAAACAGTGAGCTGGTGAAGCTCATCACCTGCAATGGTGATCTCAGCTGACAAAGGTTTTTCTAACCAGACGAAGGGCTAAAAGTTGCTATTATTACATGAACTAGCTAATTAAGAGTAAGCATTACCAATAAAAATATTTTATGTGCTGGAATTTTTATAAGGGTCAGGTAATGACACGAGTCAGAGGTGACAGACACACTGGGCTCTCGTTCCTCCTCTGCCTCCTCTGAAGAACTGCTCCTGGTCTGAAACCTGGGGAGGGCATGTCTAAGTTCACACAGGAAAAGTGATAAAATGGTGTAGAAGAGCCGAGCAGATTTTCAAGGAGATTGAGCCACGGAAGGTAGCAGTGAGGCATAGAAAGCAAAAGTACGCCAGGCCTCATTTAATTATCTTTTTCACACTGCATTAATCATCACAAAAACAGGATTATGCCTATTTTTTACATCAGTGTTGGAGGGTAATACAAATGTCATTTTGTGCACTGTCTGTCATTAGCAGCTGTTAAATTAAAGGTTTGAAAAGCAAAATAATGAAGGCGGGCTGCTCCCTTGACCTATTTTTCACCAACAACTTTTTCCCCTTTGACCTCTGCATCTGTATTTCCCTTATCGAATCGTCATCTGCTTTCCTACGACTGGTCTCGCTTTCCCCAGCCCCCACCACCACCCTGGTATTTGCTGTTCCCATGACCTCTCTCTTCAGCTGTCTCATTTTATGTGCCAATTTGATGGT